ACACACACACACATACCACACTCTCTCTTTCTCTTTTCTCTCCCTCTCTCTTTCTCTCCCTCCCTCTCTTTGATTTCTTTTATTGACACATAACAAACAACGTGGGTGCAGACGTGAGCAAATTTCAAATTTTGGTTCACCCACGGCCACTGGATACCTCACAATCGTATTCAGACATTTTAAACATTCTCCTAGTAATAACTCCTTACGTCAGGAGCTTCGTTAAACTGTCCATTTTCCTCCAGTTTTTTGGCAAAATCCAGATGCATACATATCTGCCTACTACGGTCCCGTAACACCACGCCTTAGCGCAGGTAGGACATACGGTCCCCTAGCGCCAAACACTATGGAGGCGTACGGTTCCCTAGCGCCAAGCGCTATTGGGGCGAACGGTCCCCTAACATCTTTTCTTATCTCTACAATTTTGAAACGTGAATACATTGTATCTTGTAGAGTAGAGCTAGCATACAGAGCAGTCAGTTGTCAAATTATGAAGTTTTGAAAAGTAACCTGTGATCGCTAGATTTAGCTGGTTAGGGAAATCGTGTATGTATGATGCATTGATTCCTAGCGAATAGAGGGACCCACGAATCCTTCCTTGAAGCATATCCATTTCTGCTCTGGACATTCAAAAATATTCATGAAACTTATATCCAGGTCTAGTTCTTTCACGAGATGATAATAGGAACCACTCTGTTTTATAATATCGTGGATCCTACATCTATGATGGCTTTTACTTTCACTTAATTTCTATTTTACAGAACCTAGCAAACTATTCTCCATTTACATTTTCAGTCAAAGAGAGCAATAATACCAGACGACAACATGAAACGTCATGTTTCATAGCTGGCATACAAATGCGTAAATAATAGCAAGTACCTGTTTAAAATATATAAAAACTATGGATCATGAAAGCAAACAATTCGTACGATTATAAATACGCACGTGTAAATTACGTATCACGGAACTGCAACTTTTAATTGACTATAAATATTTTAAATTTATTTAGGAGGTGTGCGTGTGTGTGGTTTGGTGTGAGCCAAGGTAATAGATAAAGGAATTTGGACATCAAAACCATTTCGAACATTTGAACTGTTGGTGAGTAGCTGTGAGATTATTTATGGAACCATAGCCTCTTGGCCACCTTGCTTCATCGTCCTTCAGCTGCCGATTTTATTTTCAGATTTTGACCACTTTTCCAGCATGAATGGTATGAAATGTAAACAGCTGGGTGTCACTATGTACGACTGAGGGCTCTGATTGGTAAAACGGGGTAAGAACGGTAACTCATAGCCCACCTTAAGCTTATTTACATAAAGAGCTGACTGTGCATGCGTACCTTGTGCTGTTTTCGTCCGTTTATCTTTAAGTTTTAAACCTGAATTGACTTTAAAAGTTCGTTTGTATTGTGTTTTACTGCTTTTTAAATATTAATTTATAGATCTCGGAAGGCGGACTCCTTACCAAGAGGCTACCGAGGCAGTCTATGTGCATGTGTGTATGTGTATGTGTATGTGTGTGTGTACGTGTGTGCATTTGTGTATGTGTGTATGTGTTTGTGTGTTGGGGGGTGGTGGTGTGTGTGTGTGTATTGTATGTGAGGCATCATGGTAAAAGTCAGGATCTCGTCAAAATAATGAACGTGAAGAAACAGGCATTTTCCGTCAGTTTAGTTTGACAATTGGGTATGGACTTTTTGGTTTTTGCTCAACATCTTTTATGTTCATATAAAAACATATTTCCGTGTGGATTTGACTGAAAAACGTTGATTGAACGCTCAACAAATGTAATTTTTCAATTTTCAAGGACTCTCAAGCCTTAGAAGTCACCAAACTTTGGTGGCCACTTTCTCGCTAATTTTAGCTCTGAAACCAGCACACCCCAAATTCTTCAAATCGCAAATATCTCGACTGTTATTCAATGTAAATAGGTAATAATAATAATAGATAGCATTTGTATAGCGCATATCCCCGCTCAACAGCAGGCTCTATGTGCTTTACACTATATTATTACCCCAGCAGACCATAGTACACTCCGAAACATTCTCAGCTTCCCGGGAAGCATACAGTGCAAGCAGCCGATTAAGCGCTCAAACACTAACAAACTGACAAGATCTTTCGCTGTCTATAGCCGGGTACCCATTCCCACCTGGGTGAAGTGAGGAAAATTCGTGTAAAGTGCCTTTCCCAAGGACACAACGTCGGGCCCTTGACGGGATTTTTTCAAGGAATGCAAGGCAAATACCAACAAACGCCACATGACCCAAAATTGACGAGTGCCTGATTCCACCACGTCATGTCACATAATTGATATATGTGTGAATCTGCGAGTGCGCTCGTGTGTTTATGGTGCTATTATTATGGGTAGTGTAAACATGGCATGCAAGCCTGACCCACAGCTTTTGAACGCATGGTTGGTGAAATCTAGGTAATTTGAGATTGTTCTGTCTTTACTCTTAAGAAAGTACGAAATACCTTACATCTTCAAAAGGTAAAGCTTTTCTTTGTTACAATAGTGTAAGTTAATAGTATATCCGAGTATTTGGAGCCGAGGTCGGCCATCTAAAAAATTGACAACCTCAATGCATTTGTATGTTTCAAAGAAAGATTGAACATTTAATACCGTATTTTAATTGGCTGACAACTATAGAGCTTTGGATGAGTTTTTCCGGTGTATACTTTTAGCCTTTGGGGATTAAACAGAATTAAACAACCGTCAACGTTTTCTAAGATAATTTTTGACGCAAAATATGTAAAAGACCGGCTCAAAAAAGACTATCAATGAAAGAACAGCTATTTTTCTAATAGAATGAATTGATCGGCTTGAAATATTTTGCATCAATCCTTCCGAGAAACGCCGAAAGCATGTGACCCCCCAGCATCCCGAGCACTAAGTACACAAGGTACAGTACAAACAGGGGCGACTCCCTCGATGGAGGGCTGGTGCGGTGCCGGCCGGGACAGCGCTCGGTGTTATAGTTAGGAGACGGAGGTCAACGAATATAAGGAAACACCAACAAGATACAATGATTTGTTTCCGATTAACATTTAATTGATTGAAAACCTGTCAATCGAATATGACATTATGACAGCATTTATTGACAAAGCTTAAACTATATAATAATTGACAGTGAAGTCGGCTCTGCAGCCATCGCGGACCCACATGGTATTGGCCATAAACCCAAAAGTGGTTCCGAGAGTGCAGGGAGCCGCGGACTGTTGGTTGGCCACTTGCATGGAGTAGATACAGGTGGCGGAGGGGAGAGTGTTGAGAATCTGGGTAGAGTACTTGTAGTTCCAGCTGCTCACGTTTATCGTGGTGGTTCTGATGGCGCCTGGAGACAGGAGATGGAACTGATCAGTCATTTGTGGATATGAATGACTACATTGGGGGGGGGGGGGGGGGGTGCAATATTTCCGAGGTTAGCGTGCATCTCCGAAAAGACAGAGCCAATCGGGGAAATTTGAGTAAAGTACCTTTTCAAAGGATAACTGACCAGGGGCTTGAACCCCAGGAACCATGATGTCAAGATGACGGGTACAGTAACTTACTATTAGGCCACCCACACTAAAAGAAATTGGGGAAAAAGTCCCTCCAACAGGTGGAACCTGCAATCTAAATCAATGAGGTAAAATGAACGAACGCAGAGATGAAACAAACAAGTGTATATCATAGTATGTACATCTACCCAACAACGTCGTTTTTGTGAGTACACGATATCTTGAACCTGTTGTAAACCATGCACCAGCCTGAGGTGTAAAGGATAATAGTTCTTTTGTATTCAGACAAAACGGTAATGTGGACGGTTTACTGTCTTTGTGAGCAATATCGTGTCGATGTGCCCCAAAACCCAACACCACCCCAATAGATACAAACAACCCCCAAAACCGCCTCCCCAACCCCTCCCCACCCAAAAAACAGATGAAAATATAACGTATTATACTCCTGCAATGCAGAAAAGGAACAAACCGTAGTGTGGTCACGGATGTGAAAAGAAATATGAAAAGAAAAATGGCGTCGTGTTAAAGAACACCATTCAACGAAGCTCTCAAAGCAACTTTGGTACTTTTCGTCGTTTCTACAAAGTAGAAATATTTTTCCAAATCTAAAGAGCATAGTAACAAAATGTCTGAATGTCAAAATGACCCAAACGAATACGCCGGCAGCTCTTCCAAGTCTCCTCACATTTAGTGAAGGCGTTAATTTAAAACAACGTCACACGTACCTCTGACATAACAGACGTTGAAGTCAGCCTGGCACCCATTATTCACCCAAACTGTGGAGTTCTGGTTGTAGAAGCCGAAGTTGTTATCCAGATCGCAACTGGCCGCAGACTGCTGATCTTCAACGGTCATGTTGAGGAACAGTGCTGCAAAATTAACTTTGCTTTCGGCGTACTTGTAGTCCAAACTGTTCACCCTGAGTTTTTGGCACTCAGTCGATCTCACTGGGGTGTTAGAAAGAAGTCAGAAATGAGCCTAAGAATATTCTGATAAGACGTAACAGATTTAAATATATTATTTTCTATACTAAGAAACAATTTTGGAAATCTCTGGAAAAGAAAAGAGAACAGAACCTTTAAAGGAACAACATCGTAGCCTTACATTTTGCTTATCTATACGAATCAGTGTTCTTGCTTAGAAGATGATGGCGGGTGCTCTGAGCTTTGCTCATTATCAAACATCTATCGTCCATACATATTTTGTGCGTGTGTGTGTCTGTGTATGTGTGTGTGTGTGTGTGTGTGTGTGTGTGTGTGTGTGTGTGTGTGTGTGTTTGTTACTCTTGTAACACATTTAATCTGCATTTATAGACCGTTGTAAGCGACCTAAAACATAGCTTTACCTGGGAGGTAGCAAACTTTGAAGTCAGCACGACAGCCCTGATCCACCCAAAGGTTGTTTTTCTGGTAGCCGAAGGATTCTCCCAGATTGCACTGGGCCGCAGACTGTCGATCTACGACCGTCATGTTGAGGACATATGAGGCATCTTCCAGAACTCTCTTGGCGTACTTGTCGCTCCAACTTTCTACCCTGATAACATCGCACACATCAGGGTCTGTTCAAGATTTAAAAATAAGGCAAGCATTATGAAATAAAGGACACGAAGTTAAAGAGGCAGGCAAGCAATGATGAGAAAAAAGCTCTCTTACACATTTCTTAGGCAGGCGGAATTTATATTTTCAGTGAGGAGAAGCACATCGACACAATAACGATCATTTTGAGCGAGAAAGTAGCAAAACAGACAAAGGGAGGAACGCAAAATCCAAGGGGTGCCCTCCAACCACCCGCCTTAGGTATGCACGGAAAGTTTAACATACAATATCAGTAATCTATTTTTGCAACCGGGAGTTTTTCATAATGTCGCCCAGAACGAAAAGGAAACAATTTGTGTGGAGGGACAAATTGTCGGCTTCTTAAATTTTGCCGCTCCACCGCTTCTGAGCTAAGTAGATCTTGTTATTTTAACCAAATTCCAGCTAGGTCAAAAGCAGAGTCTTGTTCATGGGGGTTACGCTTAGGGGTTACGCTTAAAGAGCTTGTGCAATTTTGATTACCAGCCTTTCATATTATCATATAAATGATTTCAGTTCCAAATAATAAATTATACGTTGTGCTAATTGTGTCTTAATGGCACGTCAGAAGTCAGTAGAATAAAGAATATAGAATAGTACTTGACGGATTTCTTGCTAAAAATTGCTATGCTTCCAATCTCTTTGTTCTGAAACAGCCTTGACAGGATACTGGCAACACAGTAACGGAATCCTAAAATAGTGAAATGGTATAGGTTCAACACCCCTATCAACACATGACATTTTTAAGGTGGGACATCCACGTTTAACGTCGATATCTCGGAAAGGAACGAGCCAAAATTCAATAGGAAATTCGTGTAAAGTGTCTTTTCCCAAGGCGACAACGTCGGACTGTGCCGATGTTTGAATCCCGGAGCCCGGAATCTCTTAATTACGGGACAGGTTGTCTAACTAATAGGCTACTGAAGCCACCCAGCCGAAATCTTCCAAGTTTAAGTTCTAGATTTCCAAAAAACTACTCACCGCAACACGCGTATGTCGTAGTCACGATGAAGAAAAGGACGAGAACTACAGCGTTGTACATCTTTGTCTTGTCTTGTCGTGTGTTGTTGGGACTTGGTGCAGCGTCAGAGATGTTCTTTGGTGTCGAACTGAAACTGCTCACCATTTATATTGAACAAGCAGTCATCCGGAGTCGACATAGTTTTTCACCAGAAAATGAACAGTATTATTTTTTGAGGCTATGATTCTTCACCACTGATGCCAACGATTTCGTTGAAAGTGTTGTACGCTTTTGTTGAGACAAGCTACATCTCTTTGGGGGTTTTCCGCTTCCATCATGTCTGTAAAGGCCAATCAGGGGTGAGTAGGGTGGGCACCGAACTGGACAAGGAAGTACGCAAAAGAAAATCTTCAGCTTATTAGCGAAGAACACACCCACCGAACCAGATTATTGTTGATCAAGTAAAAGGCGTCAGAAAAAAGAATGGAAGGTCAAAAGATATCAGAATATATTCTTTGGTAGAGCTAGAATTAGAAAGTAGAAGCAGATCGTCTGGAATGAAGAAGGTATTCTTTACTATTTTGTAATACCTGAAAGAATAAAGGAATCGAACTCAGGTATTCTGCCAGTAACGACGAAGCGCCTAATCGCTACATCGTCGATGCTTGTATCTGTAGTACCACTGGTTTGACAAGTACCAAAACCTGAGACACGAGTGGCATCGGTAGCCTTGTGATTAGGCTACCAGGCTCGTAAACTTTGTGTCTTTCGGAAAGGCACTGTACAAGAATATCCCACTTGGCTCGGTGTTTTTTTAAATGGACGTTACACTCAGAGGTCGTGCCTCTTAAACAACCTAAGATTTTTTATAGGGGTATTAAACCTATCCCATTTTTTTTCACGGAACAGGAAATAAATGTGAGGCATTGTGGCGAAATTGAAATAAAAGAAACTGGCATTAATTTTTCCTGGCAGTTGGTGGGGGGGGGGGGGGGTCGATTTTTTTACAGCACTTTTTAAGTCTATTTAAAAGCACTCAGATAATGATATGTGTTTATTTTATCGAGAAAACGTTGATCTAAAGAACAAAAAAAAAATTAATTAAAAAGTTCAAAGGACTCTAAAGCTTTGTAAGTCACGAAAACTTGGTGGCCATTTTCATACTAATTTTACTTCTCTGACTCCAGGCAATCCCCGACTGCTTCAATGGCAAATATCCAAATTTCTTTTCCAGATAAATGGGTTTAAAAAAAATTTAACGCGAGACAAATGAACAGGCTAAAAGTTGATGTCAGTAACTAAATAATACCCCTAAAAATTGACAAGCTCCTGATTCCACCTTGTTATATCACAAATGTGTCCAAACCTTTCCCCTCTAGGTATATTCATCTTGATCTACATCCGGCATATGTCAGATGAAATTTGTGCGAGCTAAAAGCGAAGCTCATCACCGTAAATCCTTTTG